TCACACACACATACTCTCTCATATACACACATTCTCACGGATCCACACACACTCTTATACACACACACACACGCACACTCTCACCTACAACACATGCTCTCACATACAAACACACCCTCATACAAACACATGGTGCACACACACACGTTGCCTCCCTTCAGTGCCTGAGAGGTCGAGTCAGGTTTATGGATAATTCGCACGAGCCTGGAAACTCCCCACGTGGGGGTCTGAGTCATTCTTCCCTGGAGCCCACCCAGGGTTCTCTGATGCCCCAGTAGAGGACAAGAAACGGGGGATGCTTCTCAGTCTGTAACTGAGCCAAAGCACCCCCCTCCCACTCCTGGAGCCCTGGAATCACAGAGGGGTGGGTCCACCCTACCGAGGGAGGCCACCAGTGACTCACACCATCTCCAGAGAAATCCAGAACCACGTGCCCCGGGGGAACATTTGTGGGGGGGGTCCTCCTCCCCGCCCCATGGGGAGACTTCGACCCAGGTGACTTGCGGTGACAGACATCTGCCTTAGGGGCTCAGGCTGGGATGGGGTGGCTCACACAGGCCCTGCCGTCTCCCTGGCCCGGGCCACAGATCAAGCTTCTCCTCAGCCCAGATTCATTTTTCAGGGTTGGGAGCCAAGGAGTGAAGGAGCAGGGGGTGGGGGTTGCCGCCTGAGTGCTGTTGGCTGCAAGGAAAACAAGCACCATCCATTTCACGGACACCCCTGGGGGCTCGCCGCAAAGCCATTCTTTCAGGAACAGGACAGTCAGGAAGCGTTCTCTTTCCTGCTGCCGAGTCAAGCAGGTTGACAGAAACGTGTGTTTGGCATAGCGGCAGTGGCGGTAGGGATAGCGGTGGTGGCGGGTGCTGCCTTCCCTTCCCATCGGGTTCGCATTCCCAGTCTGCCCTTGGAGCCACGTGTCTGGCTGGGACCCCTCGCCCAGCCCTGCGCTGCCTGGTCCCGGAGTGAGGGGAGGGGAGCCGACAGCCCAAATGAATGTCTGCGGTGTAGGACGTACTCGTTGATTTAACTTCACCAAATGAACTTGCATTGCACGTTTCATAAAAGACAAATGCCATTTACGCCTGGCAAGCTCCCCATGATGTATTCGATGTGTCAAATACAGTAACAACAAGTCTCACAATGGAGATGTTACTGGTGCCCGCTCGAGTAAATTGATGAACAATGGGAGGACAGTGCTACAGTGCTACACGTTATTTTAGCTGGTGCTCGTAACATCTCCGGTGCTTTTCCCATTTTCAGGAATGAAACCGAGACTCAGAGACACACTGGATCCAGTGGCAGAGGCCAGGGTGGACCCCAGTTCCGCGACACTCTGGGGCTTGCAGCTTCTGGCCACGGTGCCACGTAACTCAACGCTGCCAACTCAGAGTCTTTGGCCGAAGAGGTTTTCCCACCTTCCCCCTAATCTCCCCATTTTTTCTTGCAGGAATTTCTGAGTATGCCATTAGTTAGGTGGCAGAGAGGTGGAAAATGCAAGGATGCTAGGGCCTCCCCGCACTGGGGGTGCAGAGAGCCGGCAGGCTGCCTGCTTCTCAGTACCGTGAGATTCTGGCTCTCCTGGCCCTCAACACCGAGGGGCAGCATGGCCACTGCACCTTGCCTTGTGCTCAGGGAGCCTCCATCTGGAAGGTTCTAGAGCAGGACAATGAGGGTGTGTGCACACGGTGTGTGTGACGTGGATGCGTATTCTGTGTGTGTGTGTATTGTGTGTATGCTGTGTGCACCATGTATGATTGTGCAGGTATATGGGTATGTGAGTGTGTACATGAGTGTGTGTGTGAAACATGAGTGTGAGTGTGTGTGAATGTGTCTAAGTAGCACTGTCCTCCTGTTGTTCATCAATTTGCTCGAGCGGGCACCAGTGAATATGTAAATATATATATATATATGAGTGTGTGTGGGTGTATGAGTGTGAGGATATGTGTGTGTGTGTGTGTGTGTGTGTGAGCGTGTCTGAGTGTTTGAGCACCTGAGTATGTGTTTGCGTGTGAATATGTATTTGTATATGTGTGTGAGTGCGAGTGAATGTGTGAGTATGTGGGTGCATGCGTGTTTGAGTATATGTGTATGTGAGCGTGTATGTGATTGTGTAAGTCTATGTGTGTGGCTGGTACATCTGGGGAGGCTCCCCTAGTGCCTCACGCCTCACCAGGAATCTGTGTTATCCAACTGGCATCCAGAACAGGCCACATAGCCTCGGGTCACAGTACAAGGAGGGTTCTGGAAGACCAGCAGGACCATCACTGGGTGGCCTTCCCCACCCAGACAGCTGGACCCAGCACGCTGTGACCACCTGTGAGGGCAGCGCAGCCCAACATCCTGACAGCAATTGTCACTCCAGGGAGGGGTGAGCAGGCCCACAGGTTGCAAAGTTCCCAGAGGGCTGACGTGTGTGTATGTGTGTGTGTGTGTGTGTGTGTGTGTGTGTGTGTGTGTGTGTGTGTGTGTGACCCGAGTTTCTGGGGTGAATCTGGTCCAGTTTGACTCCTGAACCTTTGCTAAGGGAGTCACCCCTCATACCTTCCCCAGCCCACCCCTTCCTAAATGAAGCTTCCTGCAGCCACACTGGCCCCTCACCCCACTGTGTCCCCAGGCTGAGACACGCCCCAGGTCACCACAGTAAGTGCTCAGGCCCCACTTGCCCCTGCTGGCCTCAGCTCTTGCTTCTCACTCTCACTCTCCAGCAGCTCATAGTCCTGGCTCGGCCCCGATCCCACCCAGGGCCCAGGAGAGAAGCCCCCGCCCCAGGCCCCAGGAGAGAAGCCCCCCCCCCCCCCAGGAGAAAAGTCCCCCCCCCCCCCAGTCCCAGGAAAGAAGACCCTGGTCCCAGGAGAGAAGCCCCCCCAGGCCCCAGGAGGGAAGCCCCCAGGCCCCAGGAGAGAAGCCCCCCAGGCCCCGCCACATGCGTCTCCCCACATGACTCCCTGTTCCCTTTCACAGACGCGGCATTGCAGAACTCCAAGGCGGGAGTCTGGCTCGTGCTCTGCCTGGCTCCGGGCCCACGAACAGCCTCTGCCAATCACCCCCAACCCCAGAGACGTTTCCCGGGTAATTTGGTGGCACCGTCCAGACCTTGGATTTGTTATGTTCCGGCCCCTGAGCTCCCCGAGGACGGGAGCGCGTGCTTGGCAGCGCGGGGAAACCGCAGTGGCCTGAGAGGGGTCCGGGCACGCAAGCTCCACCGACACGCAGTGAGACAAAACTGCGGGGCCCAGGGCGGGGGGAGGAGGGGGGCACTGGGTCTAAACGGCAGGAAGACGCTGAGGCCCAGATCTCACACCCGCGTCCTCGGCTGCCCTGCCTGTGCCCTGCAGGCCCTGCTCCCCGCTGGCACCCCAAAGATTCCAGGGAACTGTGTTGACTGGGATGAGCCTCTGCAGGCCTGGAAGTGGCTGGCAGGGGTGAGGCCACTGCAATGGAATTTCATCTCTGTGATGCGTGCCAAGGTTCTGTCTGCCCCTCTGCTGGGGACCTCCCTGCTTGCTCCGGCCTGGCCTGGAGGTTATTTTCTGTCCCCTGCTTCCCCCCCAAGCCCCGTGCTATGATTTGGGGTCCAGCCTGTGAGCTGCTAGGGTGCAGAACCGGAGCGGCAGGAGGGCCCTTTCTCTAGCCAGGCCCCCCCACCCTGCCCCGAGCCAGGCACAGTCCTAAGAGGACCCTCAACCCTCATCCCCCAGGACAGGAGGTGTGAGGGCACCTCTCGGCGCCTTCTCCCCCCCCGGACCCCACCCGTCTGATACACTAGGCGCATAGCCAACTCTGCCATGGGGCTGCCAGATGTGGCCGGGGGCGGGCAGCCAGCCAGCTCTCGGGCAGAGGTCCCCCGCACTCATGGCCTGCTGGGGGCGGCGCCCTGGAGGAAGGAATGTGTTTGGCCGTTTCTGGGGGGACACAGTGCCCAAACCATCCCTCCCGGGCCCACATTCCTTCCTGCCCCACCTCCGGGTGGAGGGGTGGAGGTGGGGATTGCTGCTTCCGGCCAGGAAATAAAATCAATGAGGCACGGGGGTGGGGGGTGGCCTCCCTGGCTCCCCATGTGGCTGTGGAAGGCTGGGCCGAAAGGGGGTTCAGAGTCAGACAAAGACACCCACACCAGCACCGTCTCCACCCCCACAACGGCCGGGTCCACATTTTTCTGCAAAGTTCATCAAAGCAGGAGAGAAAAATCTAGATACAGGTGTTAGGTGCTGAGGGAGCTTAGGAGGTATGTGTGTGTGTGTATGTGTGTGTGTGTATGTGTGTGTGTATGTGTGTGTGTGTGTGTATGTGTGTGTATGTGTGTGTGCATGTGTCTGTATGTGTGTATATGTGTATCTGTGTGTATGTGTGTGGCTATGTGTGTGTGGTGTGTGTGTATGTGTGTGTTTGTGTGTGGTGTGTGCATGGTGGTTGCATGTGTGTGTGTGTGTGTGTGTGCGCGTGCGTGCTCTGAATGTCCAGCAGAGGACCCAGATGGCCCAGGACTCAGCAGGGCTGGCTGCCACCAAGGGACACTGCCCTATCCACAGCAGCCCTGGCATGCTCAGGCCAAGGGATCCCACACGAAGCCCATGGAATGTGCCTCAGTGTCCCCGACTATGGGAAGGACGCAGGGTCACAAATGCACCGGTAGGCCACGGAAAGTGATTTCTGCTCCTTGGCTTCTTACGGACCTTGGACAGGCTGCAGGGACAGTGGTCCAACCCCTCCTTCTCCCCAACCCCGGGAGTTTGCATTGACACCTCAGACATTCTCTTCCATCTCGCTCATTTTATAACACTCATCAACATGGTAGGGGACCCTGAAGGACACCAGCCCCTGTCCTCCTCCACGCTGGCCCCAAAGAAGGACTTTCCTGAAAATAAGCCCAACGGTCTCCTTGTAGCCTGGCCCTGGTCTCCTTGTAGCCTGGCCCTGGCTCTGGGGAGGACAGTTCCCCGGACAGGCCTGCAGGGGGCGCCCTCTGCCGGCTCCTGCGAGAAGCGGTCCCCAGGGCTTACCTTGGTGGTGACCACGGAGGCGGAGCTGGCCACGAGGCTGGTGATGGCCTCGCCGCTGCCAGTGGTGCAGGGGGCGGGGGCCGTGGCGGCGGGCGTGGGCAGCCGGGAGGGCACCACGGGCAGTGGCAGGAGGCCGGGCCGCGCGCTGAGGCTGCTGGCGGCCGCGCCCCCGGCCCCGCCGGCCGTGGCGCTGCAGATGCTGGTGGTCCCATGCGTGCCGTTGGCGCTCCACTCGCGGCGGTCCCAGCCCACCCGGTAATCTCTTTCGAAGCGGCTGTGGTGCCGGGACATCTCGGTGGGCCGCGGCTGCTCCTCGCGGGGAAACAGAGGCCGGACCTGCTGGCACAGAGCAGAGAGGAGGCGATTTAGATTGCAGCGGGGGGTATCTGCGAGCACCTTGGCTCTCTGTGCTGGGTGGGGGGGTCGTGGAGGGGGTGGCGGCTTGGGAACATTGGCTCACTTGCTGCAGGTTCTTAGGAAGCCCTCAGGCCCCCTCCAGCCCCAAAGGGCCGTGGGCAACATTTGAGACCCTTCTGTGTGTTCTCACATCGGACATTCTGCCCACCAGGTGGGGCTGAGGTTCTAGGTGAGGCTTTTCCTTACATCCTGGGAGGGAGTGGGGGTACGGACTGGAAACCCGAGGGTCCCTGACATCAGTGTCACTGGAGACCTGAGGGTCCCTGACATCAGTGTCACTGGAGACCAGAAGGACAGTGGCCCAGGAGTTGCAGGCAGAAGTAGGATACCCACCTCCCACCCCAGCCCATGTACAGAATGAGTCCCCCAGCTCAGCCTGGATGTTCCGGTTTCAGAACAGAGCACACAGTTGGAGAAGCTTGGCAAGTCCCTGGGGGTTCAGTGGCCAGCAAGCCCCCCCCATACCCCCTGAGACCCTAGGCTAACCAGCCATCTCCCCACACTCTCCTGGGCACAGCCCAACCTCAGGCCTGCAGGTTGTCATGGAGACCGAGATGCTCCAGGGGACTCACAGGCCCTCCCATGTCACAGAGGACGAGCTTTTGCTCCGTTGGGAACTAAAGGGCCCCCAGCAGCACCCAGGGAAAACCACGCGGGGCTCCCATCTCACCAAGCCTGGCCCTGCCAGGTCCGAGGGCTTCTGTATGATGCTCCCGGGGTGGGGGGAGCCCCCACACCAGGGCGAGACTCTTGGGGGGCTTGAACACCCCGGCTGTGCCATTGGCCTCTCTGCTGGCTGCTGGCTGGATACCAAATCCAGCACAGACCCCGTGGCTCATGGGTAATTCATGAGCCAGTAATTAAGAGCAGTGCGTGCTGTGGTTCCCTGTGCTGGTCACAACCAGCTGGGGCACGGAGGCCACCTTCAAGGCCCTCTGAGCCACTATGGCCCTGGGACCCTCCACCCCCACCGCTGTCCACACGGGAGGGGCTGGGGGGGATGCTCTTGTGCCCGAGGGCAGCGGGGGGCTCCTGTATCTCCAGAGAGTGCCCGCCATGCCCAGATCACAGGTGGCTAATGGCCCTTCCCAGCTCCTTGTCATTGAGGCGGCTGTGGAGGGGGCGCTGCTGTGAGGGCCCTGAAGGCGTCATTAATCCACAGGAAGGGAGGGGGGCCGCGCCGCCTCCAGACAGGGGGCTGAGGAATGGGCCTGGCCCAGCCGCCCCAGCCGGGAAACGCACGGCGGCCTCATCTGCGGGGGCGCGCTGCCACGCCGAGTGGAACGGTTGTGCCCATCTTTCTTATTTGTTTCTTTCTCTGCATCTTTCCACTTTTTTTTCCCCCACAAACAGCGACCCGAGAAACCTCTTGGCAATGGCGGCAGTGTCAGGGCCTTTCTGTGGAGGTGGGCAGACGCCTGAGCAGCCTTGAGGCCTGGCGGGTGGGGGGGGGGGGCAGCAGCCTTGGGTCTGGGTCCATGCCCTTTGGAGCTGTTTCTGTTTCCTGGGGCGGCCCCAAGCCCGCAGGTCCCCCCTCCCCACATGCACACACATACTTGGCCTGGGCTGGATCAGACCCCAGTCCCTTCCAGCAGGGGTGCCTGCTGCAATCCTCTCTCCTCGGAGTCTGCAGGGGAGGCTTGACCCCAAGATGACCTAGCACATCCCTCCCCACAAGGGCCCACGCTGTCGGGATGCGCTCACCAACACCCACTTCCCCACCTTGTAGCCTTGACCTCGGAACCTACCCAGATTGGGCCAATACTGGAACTTGGGCCCTGAACACCAATTACCCTGACATTCGGCCTTGCCACCCCTGACCACCACCAACCCCCTGTAGTCTTGGTCTCTCGAGGACTTCCTCTGCGGGGATGCAGGTGCTCAGGCAGGGGTCCAGTGCATGGGGAGGCCACAGATTGGGTCCTGCCTGATCTCAGCATGGAACTGTGTCTATCGGAACAGCTCTGAGACTGGGAAGGTTCTGGAAGGTCGTCTGGCTAAGCCCAACCCCTGTGGATTCCTCCTGGAGGAGCGACCCAGCATGTGGTTTCACTGCAGTTCCCTTCCCTGACACCCCACTGCCCCCTGGGAGTCTGGTCTCTGCTCTCTTGGGGCTCAGAAAACTGCAGCTGGCCACCGGCACAGCCCCACCAGCTGGGGAGTGGAGATGGCCCCACCCAGCCCAACTAGCCATGTCGCTGCCCACAGGTGCCAACCCAGCCCAGTCCAGCAGTCGCCATCAGGGCTCCCAGCTGGAGGCGGGGGGCTGGGGTGACAAGGGTGAGATGCCTCAGATCAGAAACCAGACCGTGACCTCAGGTCCCCACTTCCACTCCCCAGGAGACACCCGGACCTGCAGCTGAGGGTTTTGTCCACCACACGTCAACTGGCACAAACACACCGCCCGAAGGAAGGCTGCACCGGGAGCCGAGCAAACACGACAGAGGAGTCACGTGGGCATGGCGATCGCCATCACTCAGGATTCAGTGAGACCATATGAGACCATGCCTTGCACTCTGGAGCAGGAAGCACAGGTGTTCACATGTGTGTGCAAACATGTATGTACCTGCATCCGTGCATGTGTGCATGTTTGATGTGCAAGCACAAGTATGCATGTATACATTGTGTGTGTGTATGTGTGTGTGTGTGTGTGTGTGCGCGCGCGCGTGCACATATGGTGCTGGTAGAGGCAAGGCTCCCTCATGTGCTGCCGAGCGGATGTAGATGGCAGAGCCTGGGGCATAGATGGGGAGGGAGGAAATCAGATACACCCTCTGGTCCAGGTGTTTTAGTCCAGATATTTACAGGATGAACAAGAAAACACGAACACAAGGAAATACCCACACCCTGATGTTCCCTGCAGAATTTTTTCCAGTGGTTAAGTTAACACCTGAGGGCCAGCAATGCCTGAGTGAATAAAGGAGATGGGGTAAGAACACACGCACTCACACATACACACAAACATGCTCACAGAGGCCACTGACATACAGACTCACATATGCACACATATATACTTGCTCAGGACAGAGGGAGGGCGTTTGCCTTGCGCGCAGCCGGCCTGGGCGAGCTGGTTCGATTCCTCTGCCCCTCTTGAAGAGCCTGGCAAGCTATCGAGAGTATCTCGCCTGCACGGCAAGGCCTGGCAAGCTACCCGTGATGTATTCGATATGCCAAAACATAGTAACAACAAGTCTCACGATGGAGACGTTACTGGGCCCGCTCGAGCAAATCGATGAACAATGGGAGGACAGTGACAGTGACAGATACTTGCTCATATACATACATACATTCACACACACGTATATACTAACATGCACTCACTCGTAACTCATTCATACTCTCTCTGTGTCTGTCTGTTTCTCTCTCTCTCTCTCTCTCTCTCTCTCTCTCTCTCTCCCTCTCTCTCTCCCCCTCACTTGCACATGCACACTGGGATCAAAATACAAAAACCCCACCAACCCAGATATCTTGCTACATACAAGATAGACGGACCATATAAGGCTGAGGGAAACCATATAAGACCAAATAAGTCAGAGGGAGAAGGGGCAGGGGAGATAGCACAGAGGGTAAGGCACCTGCCTCGCACGTGGCTGACCTGGGTTCGATCCCCGGCACCCCGTATGGTGTTCTGAGCCCTTCCAGGAGGTGATCCCTGAGCGCAGAGCCAGGAGTAAGCCCTGAGCACCGCCAGGTGTGGCCCAGAACAAAACAAAAAGCAAACCAACAAGTGAGAAGGAAAAGCACAAATGCTGGTAGGATGAACTGGCACGAAAGCTAAGGAACTAAAGCAAATGAGCAAATAAAGCAGAAACAAAACAGCCTCTTAGACACAGAGGACGCCTTTGTGGTGACCAGGGGCCAGGGAGGGGGAAACAGGAAAAGGGATGGGATGGCAAGGAGGCTGCTGGGGTTCCCCGAGGCAGTTGTCACAGACATCATGTTCCGGGCATATGCCTGAGGCCTTGATCATGTCATAGACATGTGCAATCACGTAGAAATTCATTAAAAAAACCTGAAAAACTAAAAAAAAAACCAAAACAGGGCTAGGGATGTAACTCAGTGGTAGGGTACAAGCCTCCACATGTGTAAGGCCCTGGGTTAGATCCCAGACACCACAAATAAAGTAGCACTGCAGCACGTAGCACTGTCCTCCCATTGTTCATCGATTTGCTTGAGCGGGTACCAGTAACGTCTCTATTGGGAGACTTGTTACTGTTTTTGGTATATTGAATACCTCATGGGGAGCTTGCCAGGCTCTGCTGTGAACACTGACTAGCTTCCAATAAATCACAAATAAGCACTGTCCTCTCATTGTTCATCGATTTAGTCGATTTGCTTGAGTGGGCACCAGTAATGTCTCACAACAAATTGTGAGACTTATTGTTACTGTTTTTGGCATATCGAATACATCACGGGTAGCTTGCCAGGCTTTTCTGTGTGGGCGAGATACTCTCGGTAGCTTGCCGGGCTCTCTGAGAGGGGCAGAGGAATCGAACCTGGGTAGACCACGTGCAAGGCAAATGCCCTACCCGCTATGCTATCGCTCCAGCCTATAAATCACAAATAAAGTAAAAATGTAAAAATGGAATAAAGGAAGATCAATCAGCAGCTGTATCGCCAATGCTAGTCAGCCTCATGTGTATTTCCCAGGCCTGGATCCAGTTAGGATCTTGCGGTGACAAACCCTAGCAGATCCCGAGCCTGATTCTAGCCGGCCCTTGAAAGTCACCACAAAGTACTCCTGATGCCCACAGGTCTAGGTGGGCAGATGCTGAAGCTGCTTTGCCATGGGAGGAAGCAGGGGGTGAGCGTCAGCAGCATGAGCCCAGGACATGTGGACCGATACAGGGTGTTGACTGGGCTTCCAGTGCTCCCGGCCCCAGGAGACAGGGGTGCTTCTGTGCAGGCGAGACCAAAGAGCC